GATAACTCACTCACCAGCTGGAACAAAAGTGAGGGCTGGCTCATCCGAGCAGGACTCAGGAGCAGTTACTACACCCAGGCAAAGATGGTCTCAAACAACATGATATATGTTATACAAAGGATTCAGGCTGGAATCAGAAAGGACTCAGTGTGAACCCCCTCCTGGGCCATGAATAATGTCTAGGAGGACATGGGGGAAATCCTTTAACTCTCAACATTAGGTAGTTTTGTCATTCTGTTTGCTTTCTGTTTCTGACTTTGGACTGAGGAGAAAACAAAAATGGGAAAATTGATGTAAATATTCCACTGAAAGCATGCACGGCAGTATGGACCTGGGATTACACACACCTGCAATCCCAGCACTTGGGAAGCCAGGGCAGGAGAATTGCAGCGACTTTGCAGCCAGCCTGGGCTAGAAAGTGAGTGCAAGGCAGCCCAGACTGCACAGTACAAAGCTGTCTCAAAAAGGGGGGGAAAAAAGTGCTAAGTTCAGGTACTCTCTTAGATACGATGTCTGCAGTGGATTACACTAACTTCTTTTTCTTTTTTCTTTGTATTTTAAAAGATATGAAACAATAGACACAATCTATTCTATGTATATGGATGGCTATTATTTTATTGACATAAATATGCACTAACCTCGAAGGAAAATTTTGAAATGATAACTTTCAAACTCGAGTCCGAGTAAGGCTTTCAGGAAACAAGCTGTTCACAGGAGACCTACTAGGCAAGGATTTGCCGGGGAGAACAGGTCCTTGGGGTCCAGAAGAGGATGCGAGCCCGGCGAGCCCGCGGGCATTTCAGGGCTGTGATTGCAAGCCCTGCCCTCTGGGACGGCTCCTAGCCACCGCGACCAAGATTCTTTCCTGAGCGTTGATTATGCCAAGACCCCTTGCGGGTGATTTATACATATTCACTAACTGCATCCTCCTGACAATCCAAATAAAGCAGCCACACAGGAAATCCTGCGAACTCATTGAACCTTTCTTGCCCTCATTATCCCCGGAAGGTGAAAGTCCCTCTTTGGGTGCATTTTGGTAAATCTCCAGGCTTCCCCTACTCCCTTCTCTGCACCCGGAGACCTCGCAGCCCGGCTGCCGCAGGCGGGGGAGGGCGGGGCGCGCGGTTCAAACCCAGTGAACTGCTCCGCGCCTCGGGTGTCTCCGGGTGGAGCCCGATGGTCAGCGACCCGGGCGCCCTCGCTCACCTCGCTGACTCCATCCCCCTCCACCTCCCGATGCGTGCTCTGCCCGGCCGCCCGGTGCTCATTGGCCGCCCAGAGCCCCTGCGTCCCGATAAATACAAGGTCCCGCGGGAGAGCGTGGAGCGCCCCGCTGCAGCCCCGGCGTCCCCGCATCCCTGCTGCGCTCGTGGCCACCTGCACCCCGCGCTCCAGCCCGAGGAGCGGGACGTGCAGCCGGACCGGGGGACTCGCGGGCCGCGCTCCTTGGTCCAACAGCCGACGACCCAGCCTGCAGCCCTCGGACGGGCGGTCAGCTGCTCCTGAGGAGCCTGCACCCTGCGCCGTTGCGCAGCGTGCTCGCCAAAGCCGCTCTGCCTCCCGCCCGCGCTCCGTCCGCGCCATCGCCCCCGCCGGGCATCGCCCCTGCCGGGCATCCGCAAGCCCCATATCCATCAGTGCCGCCTCGCCCTGCCCAGACCCCACACCTTTCCTCCGCGTCTCCCGCTGCCATGAGCTCCCCTATGGGCAGAAGCCGCTTGCTGGCCGCCGTCCCGCAGCGGCTGCAGAGCCTCGAGCAGACCCTGAGGCCCGCGACAGCCGACCCGCGGGCGCCACCTCCGCTCCGGGAGCTGTCCCCCTGCCCGCTCCTGGCCCCTGGCGAGAAGCAGGACGCGGCGGGCCTGCCGGGCCCCACCAACTGGCCGCTGCTGGGCAGCCTGCTGCAGATTCTCTGGAAGGGAGGCCTGAAGAAACAACACGACACTCTGGTAAATACCCCCACGCCCTCTGCTCCCTGCTCTGCCCCCCGGTGACTCCCCGGGAGGAGCGCGGGGCGCCCAGGATGCCGAGCGCCTGCAGAGAGGCAGGAGAGCCTCGAAGCCTGCTAGGGATGCGCCCTGACCCCACGGTCTGCACGCCCGCCGCAGGTGGAGTACCACAAGAAGTATGGCAAGATATTCCGCATGAAGCTGGGCTCCTTCGACTCCGT